TTTGATAGAACAGTAGCAGAGACCTATTTGCTTGCTACGTCATGGTTCAAAGTTGTTTGCAGCATATAGATGTATCTCTTTCTGTGAAACTACCAGACAATGTAACTAGAACGTCTGCACCAGCAGGGTGCCTTTCTTCCCCCTGCTCTCGGACCCACGTATCTGCGGTCCGGCCGATCCTGTTCACTCTCTGTGCGGTGCGTGATTCGGGGGGAACCATCTAGGTTCGGAGTGATTTTTTTTTTTTGCTTTTGGGGGGGGGGGGGCGGGAGGGGGAATAAGGCCAACAGACTAGTCAGTATGTAATACATGTATTAGGTCGTTTCCAAACTGCCAGTCATGCCGGAAACGACCAGATCGTTAAACTTATTTTTTATTTTAATCGGGTCAGTTCTATATATATATATATATATATATATATATATATATATATATATATATTATATAATCATTCAACTGTGTCCCTTTCCAAACTCTAGGTCATGGTGCTGTGCTCAATCTCAAAGGAGAGGTAGAGCTAGATGCCATCGTCATAGACGGCCGTGACCTCTCCTCCGGGGCTGTGTGCGCCGTGCAGGACATCGCAAACCCTGTACAGCTGGCGCGGCTCGTCATGGACAAGGTAAACCGTACATAATTAAAATTTGTATCCGGTTTTCTAGGCTGGTCTTATTATGCAAGCTGTGCAGGTTGTTGTTGTGAAAATTTCCCTTAGTCAAGCTTTACCTGTCGGTGTGTTTCACCGATTGGAGCCCACTACATGTACATGTATTTCTAAGTGGAGCTCAAAGTAAAATATGTCACTGACTGTGTGTTTGTAAGCCTAAGTTTAAAAGTTTTTAAAAACCCGTCATAATATGACGAAAGCGTACGTTTGAGCGGAGCGTTCTTTATATGGCGTGCATTTAGGCGGACTACTCGTCGACCACGGATGAATCCGGGATGAGTTGATTTTGTCGGGGGTGGGTTCTCCGAGGTGCCCGTTATATAAATCCCCTTTACATACCACCAAGGAGGTTAAATAATAAAAGTTTGTTTTAAGCTCCTTGCATACCACGCATTACAATTGTGTCCAGTGGCGGTGGGTAGTGAAGGGCTCACGGGTTTGAGCCCCCCTCCCCACCCCCCAAGTCTATCCCAAGACAAATGGAAATAACGAAATAAGCAGTTGAAACTGTTCTGATCGACCGCAATGAACACAGAGTGATCAACTAGGCGGCTCGCTCGTTTATCCAATCACTGTTGTCCCCGCTTACAACTATAGTAACATAACAGCCAATCAAATGTCTTTAGGGCTCAGCAATCAACCAGCCCGTTCCCACGGTCTCTCCTTAATGAAACCCCTCTTGTAAAAAGGTAGAAGACTTGAAAAAAATAACACTGCACAGAGGGATCACGCTCTCCCAGCCCTGACAATGGGGTAAAAGTTTACGACACACTTTCCCCCAGTGACACAGTTACCTATGCGCCCATTGGGCCTTTGTTAGGCGCGTTCTATTTTCTGCAACAACTAACAACACGACCCAATCCACCTCATACACGGTGTGTGATTGGAGTGCTGTGTGTTTGTGCCGCTGAGATGTAACAATAATTTTAAAAAAAACTAATTAGAGAAATTTGGAGGTGAAACGGCTTCGTCCCCACCATGCAGAAGAATTTAACGTAGAACAAAGAGATGGCAGACAAAGGTGACTCTTCTTGTTTGAATGGTTCTCAAAATGCCATGGCTCGCCGTGAGTATAGAAAAATCATCACTGTGTTGTTCTTATTGCTTGCTTTTTGGTGGTAAAGAAGTGGAAGAAACCTAAGCCCCACCCAAATCTAGGTTCACCCACCGCCACTGATTGTGTCGCGACGTGGTGGAATCAGGCGCTCGTCAATTTATGGGCATGTGGAGTTATGAATATCATCTAAAACTAAAGCTTGTTTATTTGTCTTGCTTTCGGGGGGGAAAGTACCCATCTATCATGAATGGAAATTGAAATAGTGGCACATGAAGGAGGTGGTGGGTCAGCTGGTTTCAAGGTAAAATTAGCTTTAAAAAATGGCCACCAAAATTTGATGACTCTCAAAGTTTGAGAGTCCTTGAAAACTGCAAATTTACATTTTTTGTACTTTAAGCAACGTTTGTCAATGAAATTTAAAAAATTGTTGTTTACCTGACATAAAAGGCGTTGAGCCAAAAAACAATTTTTTTTTAAATTGCCAATATAGCGGAAAAAACGACGGTTTCTCCGATTTCATTATTTTGACGAGCGCCTGATTTCACCACATGCCTCACATTTGTACAACTGACTCCAGCGTGAGGCATTGCCATCTCTATCAGAATTACAGTTGAAATCGCGGGGGTGAACCTCACTGCAAAAAAAATCAAGAGTAAGCATTAGTTTATAGAGCTGGTTTGTGCTTGACCTTGAACCCTTCTCTTAATTGCTTTTTTACTAGCTATATCGTTTTTAATCTTTAGTCTGCCTCTCAATTTAATGGATGGGCAAGACAGACAGACAGACAGACAGACTGAGGGAGAAAGAGAGGAAAGGGGGG